ATCACACTCTATCATCATAAATATTCTCCTATACAATAATCTATAAAATCCCATGTAATTAGTATTTTATCACATATCTCACAACTTTCGCATTTCCTGCTGCAACCATCAGACATTCATGATGATTGAGATTTTGTTTGGGACAGCTTTAGACAACAACTTTTTTATGCTTTTATGAAAAATTTTAACTAAAAAAAACAGTTTTATAAAGCAATAAAAAAGCCATTCCAAACAAACCTGAAATTCAACAAGCAAACTCATTTTGAATCATGCGTTTCCTATTGCAAGAAATGCATCAGACATTCAAGATGATTGAGATTTTGTTTGAGACAGCTTTAGACAACAACTTTTTTAATGCTTTTATAAAATTATTTAATTAAAAAATAGTTTTATAAAACAATTAAAAAAGTCCTCCCAAACAAACCTGAAATTCAACAAGCAAACTCATTTTGAATCACGACAGTGTCGTAAGTAATCATCCATTACCATCATCTCTCCTCTATTAAAAATAATAAGGATAAACTATTTTGTTTTAATTAAATTAACATTTTTGGAGCAAATATAAAAATAAATAAACAGATTAAAATATCGAATAAATTTACATTTTGTTACAATAAACGCCATTTGGAATTAGATCCATCAAATAAAATAATAAATTAGAAAAGAAGCGTTTTTTCTCTCGTTAGATCTGAATCCGGCCACAAACCATATGGTTCCTGCAGGCCTAAACAAAACGACAAAATCCAACGCAATCAGAAAGATCGAACACAAGTCGACGTCGCCTTCTTCTCCATCCCTCGACAAATGGCGACTGCTATCGCTGTCGGATCCCTTCTCTCAATCGTATAAGACACCTCCCAATCTCCTCCCAATATCCAAATCTCACCATCCTATCACTGAATCCCTTTCCGGGTTCCATACAATGCAGCGCCAACACCAATACCCTAAACACGCGAAGAAGAATCCCGCCGTCAAGCCACCGCGGATCGTCATCATTCCGAAATCGGCTCGCGACGACAACGATGATCGATCGAGCGTCTGCAGCATCGGGGCGTTCCACCTCCGGCGTGCAGCCGAGGAGGAGGAGCTTCGGTTGCGGGAAGAATTGGAGATGGAGATCGAGCGGGAGCTCGAGCAAGAGCTGATAGATGGGATCTCTGAACTTGTTCGCCGCCTCAGCGATCTCAAGGCGCGCCAGATCGCGCGGGGTCTCGTTAAGGTGAACGGGGGTGGGCTTACGAAGAAAGCGGAAGTCGATATCGCCGGCGCGACAAGGCGGTGGGTGGTGACCAGCTTTCCGCAGAGAGACCGGGCGGTGGATTTTGGTGAGGAAAGTGGGTACGATTCTGGGTGCTCGGATGCTGAGTCCACAACGGAGGAGGGAGGCTTAAGCAGAAAATGCATCATA